TAAGTGTTATATAAATTAAAATTTTGCAAGATTTATGTATAATTATATCAAATTTTTATGAAACTTGTTATGTTTCTCTAAATGTTAAGAGAGATCAATATAATTTAATCTATATTTTTTCACTTATAATTTTCTCAAATCCGAATCACCAATCAAGAGCCACATGATTGTTCATAATCCCTTCCTAAATATGAAGGTCCACACAATTATCTGACTCTGACACGCCTAGAAATAATAAAAAAGGCGCCCGTTCCAGAAGTTTGAAATTAAATTTTCTAAATCCAAAGATTGAAGTGTTGATTTTCTTTGTCTAAAAGAATAAATTCTTATGAAATTGACCAAAATAGCCATACAATATATACACTTTTATCTCCTGAAGGGTTGAAAACGAACCCAGGCAAGTTGAGTTGAGCCAAAACTCGACTCGTTTATTTATAGAGTTTGTTTATTGTGTTCGAACTCGTCTTGATAAGGAACTGAGCTCGAAATCGATTCGGTTCGCTAATATTAATGAAACTCGAGATCGGCTTGGCTTGACTTGATACATTTTTTTAAAACATTATTGGCATTATTTAAATAAAAAAATTATTCATATTATTTAATATATAAATTATGTATTTATACTATTATTTATATTTATTTATATATTATTTAATATATAAATAATATATTTATTATATAATTTAAATAAAGATAAATGAACAGAATTTATGCGAACTTGGCTCGTTTATTAAACGAGCTTAATATACAAGTTCGAGCTCGGTTTGTTTACTAAACGAGAGAAATCGAGTTGAACCCTTAATGAATCAAGTCAAATTCGTTCATGAACAACTCAATTTATTGGCAGCGCTAATGTCTCCCTTCAACAAATCTCTCTTTCCCCTTCTTCCCTGGCCTCACCACCACCGACCCCAATCGCTGTCGACCTCCGTCACTTCCACGACTCCTACTCTGGTGGCTTCCTCATCCCCTCTCTCGCTCTCCTCCCTCACCAAAACCCTAGCCTCCACCTCCTCCGTAACAACCGTCGTTGGATTCAGTTCTGAGATCTCAGATCTAGACCCAGCCAAACAGTCTGGGACGTGAACGAGGAGACTAAGCTTAGATAGAGATGAAATCTTTGACGTAACAGTGTCGTAGTGCCAGAGACGGAGGATCTGGCGGTGTCTCAACTCAAGACGCAACCGGCAGCCAAGAGTTAAGAGTTCTTAGCGCCCTCTCTCTCAGCCCTCTTCATCTCTCTGTTTCTTTTTCTCTTCATGAGATCAAGAAGTGCCACAAGATTACGGAGCTCTTGATCTGAAAGCTTCAAGACCGATTTAAGGTTCAAGACCAGTCCAAGGTTCAATACCGATCTAAAGTTCTAGATCAGCCCCGCGCGACACTCTAGGAGGCGTAGGAGGCTTGTTTGGCAGGTTTTCTTAAACACAGAACAGAATTTTGAGGGGTTTTTGTGTGTGTGTGTGTGTGTTGTTGTTGTTGTTGTTGTTATTGTTGAACACAGAGGTATGTTCTTTGAAATCTTCAGATAGAGAGATAAAAAGGATCTGGATGTGTTCTCTGAAACTAACAGATATATATATATATATATATATAGAGAGAGAGAGAGAGAGAGAGAGAGAGAGTGGATTTCAAGGCTTAGATCTGAGCTCAGATCTGTGTTCAAGGCTCAAATTTGGAAAGTCTTCTTCATGATGATGATGATGACTTTCCATAATTTTGAACAGATAGCTATGGATGTATGAATTAATGTATGTATGTAATTTGCACAGATAAGATATAGCCAGATAGGTACCTATGAATGTATATATGCAATTTGCACAGATAAGAAATGGACAGATAGAAAAATTGCTTGGTCAATTTTAACAAATAGGAAAAACTAGGATAAGAATTTCAGCATATTGAGTGGATGTTTGGGAAATTATTATTTTAGTAGGTTTTTTTTTCAGTTTTTGATTATTTTTGGAGGTTACAATTTTTGTGTTTGGAAAGATAGTTGAATTTTTTGTAGTTGGATGTGATGTTTGTGAGAAAAAAAATGAAATGATTATGAGTTTGATGTGACATTTTGTTTGGATTTATTTTTTAAAATTTTTTAACTTATTTTGTTTTTTAGCAAAAACCTAGCCCCCCCAAAAAAAAAATCACTTCCCAAACACCACCAGAGTTTCACACAAATAAAAATTCAACAAATAAAATTTCAATAGATAAAATAAAAAATTTCAATAGATAGAATTAAAATTTCAACATATAGGAACAAATAGATATAAATTTGAATAGATAATAGCAAAAATTGAGCAGATAAGGGAAAAATTTTGAACATATACGGAAAAAAATTAAACAAATAAGAAAATTTTGAATAGATAAGAAATTTTTTTTTAAACAGATAGATATATATTTGAATAAATAGTCAACAAAAAGTCAATCAGATAAAGAAAAGTCAATAGATAAAATTGGAAACAAAATATCTTATTTTACAAAGTATGAACCTCTTACCAATAAAAAATATTCACTGGACATATTGTCTTATACTCTCCTTAGATTGGATTTGTTATCAATTTTCTCTAAAAAAAAATTCACAGAATGATACACAAGTATAAATGTAAAAGAAAAGTTTCATATCTATGATAATTTTACAAATACTAATAATTAAATGCATAATTTTTTTTCGTAAATATGTATTCTTGTAAAAAAAAAAATACTAAATTGTAATTTCTCTTGAAAATAAAGGAATGAAATTCACAAAGGTAGAGCTCACGTACAATGCTTACCTTTTGTTTCATATTTGTGTCTTTTTTTATAAAAATATTTTGTATACTTGAATTTAGCAGAAGTTATTTGGTGATTTTAGAATAATATTTAAAAATGGATGACATTTGTTCAATTAACTATCAAAAGTCAACATAAAAGTGATAAATTTTAATATTTTAGCTAATAAAAATAAAAAATTATTTGTGAGAGATACTTTCAAAACTTAATTATAAAATCATGAAAAATATTATAATTTTATTTTTTAATGCTTATAAAATTTACCACAAATTAAATCATATTTTTTCAAATACGCATTGATGTGAAATTATTCCAATAAAAAACAAGTTGAAAAATTATATTAATTTTGCCCCGATACCACCATATAATTTTCCCTCCAATGGAATCGCCAAGTCAGGACTTCACGGACTGCACCGTAGATATCTCATTCTCTCTCATCATTGTCTCTCTCTCTCTCTCTCTCTCTCTCTCTACAATGGTCCAAATACAAATTATAGTGTAATCATTTTTACCTGATGAATGGCTGTAAAGGCATTACACTTTTCTTTTTTAACACCTTTTTCAAAGATCAAGTTTGATTGAGTAGTATCATCATATCTCTTTAAAAAGAGTTAAAATGAACTTTGATTAAATCCAAAAAGCATGTAATATAACATACATAAATTGAATATAAAATAGAACGATGTTGTCTCTATTGAATTTTGACTCATTCAAATAATTTAAATTTATAGATATTAATTGTTCGACCGTCTAATCGGTCAATTATGATTGACAAAAGTAATAATTGTGATTGACCAATCGTTTGACAGATATCTAACTGGTCATTCGATTTATAAAATTCAGGTGAAACACGCAAGTTCAAATTCGGTGTATCAATCATTTTTCTATAAAATAATGTGTTTAATTTGAACATCATATTTGAAATAAAGAATTCTCTAAAATGACTTTTAATTAGAAAATTATCACCTTTAAATAATCCCAATAAAAATTATAACTTTTTGCTAATAACTACTTAAAGTTGCCATTAATTTCTATGGACATGTACAAAATACATCAAAACGTGAAAATTTTGTTGAAGAATATGTAAGTACTTTGAAAAGTGTGAAATTGAGAAATATTTTGAAATTCAAATTTTTTAACATTTTATTTTTTTAATAATAATTATTGTGTTGACGTTAACCTTTTTCAATGAAAAAAAATGATGCATAAATAATTTTTTTAAACAAAAATAACATTAAGAATAATATGATAGTGAAAATTTTAAAATTATAAGTCATGTTTTGGTTTGAAATGAAATATGACAAAACATCCTATGATAATTCTATGTAAAAATAAATAAATTTTGATATGACAATCATAATAAATAAATAATAAAAAGTTAAAAAATAACAAATTATACAAAAAGTTAAAGATTTTATTTTCTTTCTATTTTTTAAATTTTTTCTGTAAAAAATTAAAAAGTTATCACAAACATATTAGTTTTTTTCACCACATAGGGTTGTTTTGGAGAGATGCGTAAAAGTTGACTTTTTTACTTTTTTAGCTTTTTTTATTGTTTCACATGAGGTAATGTGACTTAAAATAAGTTAAAAGTTGACTTTTAATTTTTTATGCATGTTGCCAAAACAGCCCATATTTTAGCTAAAAAGTCAAAAAATTCACTAAAATAATTTATTTCCAAATGAGGTATATCTCTTACGAACCTAATCATATAATTCTCAACAATATAAATGTTTCAGTAATACTACAAATCTAGATTTAACTATCCAAAAATTATTTAAAATTGTCATCTTGTACTTCATATTTATTCTACACTTGAACCCACACTATATAAATTTAATCTGAACCACACAATACCACTCAGGGTAAATTCCAGGCACTTAAACTATGGTTCATAGCATTTTTCAAAATTTTTTTCATTAATTAATAGTAGTAATAGCTTTGCTTCCTATCATATTATGACCTCTTTTGACAAGTAATTTTTCACCCAACTTATTACTTGTTGATTTGAGTTATATCAACCTTTTATTTTATATACATTTTTTCATAATAATTATAAAAAAAAAGAAAAGAAAAGAAAAGAAAGGAGCTTTAAGCTGCTACCAATATAAAATATTTATTCCATGAGTATAACACTGAAGCAGCTTATCTCTCTTCTTAAATTACACTTTTTTTTTAACTATAATGAAAGAATAACTAGATATACATACATACATATATATATATATATATAGAGAGAGAGAGAGAGAGAGAGAGAGAGTGAGAGAGAGAGAAAGTGGTCCATCTGAGTCTATGGCTGACGGACCTTTAGGAGAAGCCGTGCAAGATAAGGAATATGAGAGACAGAGAGAGAGATGAAACACAGCAACTAGCTTTCATGGTATGTGGAATTGTCTTCTAAAAGATTCGAACGAGGTTGGGACGAAAGATCCGAGCAAGAAGTCTTTTAAGTTTTAGAGAGTTGAAACCAAGTTTATTTTGTGGGCTTCTCTCTTCATTTTCCGGGGAAGTGTTGTAGGGTATTCTGTTCAACAAATATTTTGCTTTTTCTTTGTTTTTGTCAATACTATCACAGTTTTTTGAGCTAATACTAGTTTGGGACACAACCCAACCAGTGACTCCAAATTCAGTTACACAATGATGTCTGATGATGGCAGTCTCTCTTCAATTCCATCAACAATCACAGGGTTTGTCAGCCAAGAACCAATTCCAAACCCTAACCCTAATTCAAATCCGGCTAAACGAAAGAGAAATCTCCCAGGAACACCAGGCAAGCACTCCAACAACTTCAAATTTCAAAACCCTTTTTTAGTTTTTGTTTTGTTTTGGTTTTTTGGAATTGTTTTCTTGATGGGTTTTTCAATTTCCCAACAGATCCAGAAGCAGAAGTGATAGCTCTCTCGCCAAAGTCTCTCATGGCAACGAACCGATTCGTATGCGAAATATGCAACAAGGGTTTTCAAAGAGATCAAAACTTGCAGCTTCACCGAAGAGGTCACAATCTTCCATGGAAGCTCAAGCGAAGAACAAGTCAAGAAATCAGAAAGAAAGTGTATCTTTGCCCCGAAAAGAGCTGCATACATCATGATCCGTCGAGAGCCCTCGGCGACCTCACCGGCATCAAGAAACACTATTCTAGAAAACATGGCGAAAAGAAGTGGAAGTGCGAGAAATGCTCAAAAAAGTACGCGGTTCAGTCCGATTGGAAGGCTCATAGCAAGATTTGCGGCACTAGAGAGTATAAATGTGACTGCGGAACAATCTTCTCCAGGTATTCATATATACGTACTTCAATTGTATGAGACTATTTTCTTTAGTTCCATGTATGATTAGTTTGTCAAAGAAATAAATGCTCACCTGGTAGAATATTCCAATTTAATGCGATAGAGAAAAATTAAATTGGTCGGATTCAGATCTGCTTCATTTCATTATCAAAAAACTTTTATTGTAAGTTGATTTTGATTTTTGACAATATGAAAAACAGGAAGGATAGCTTCATCACACATAGGGCCTTTTGTGATGCATTAGCTGAAGAAAGTGCAAGATTCACTTCACTTCCAATAACACAAAATATGAATTTCAGAACAGACCAATCAATCAATGGGGCAATTACTAATCTTCATCAAGCTGCCGGAAACCCCCATTTTCAGGCGGTGTTCCGGCAAGACCTTGTCGGGTTAGATTCCGGCCAGCTCAACATGGATGCTCAACAAAAACCTAGGCTACCACTTTGGTTAGACCATGGAAATTCTCATCTTCGTCACCAACCCATTGGAATCACTGGCAATTCTTCCAATGCTTACTTGCCATCGAATTCCGTGGGCTTGCCGGAAAATATGTTTGGATTGTCAGCAGCTCAGACCCAGTGGCTCAATCCCAACCTCTCATCGTCGGTTTTGCCGCGGGTTTTAAAGGAAGAAGAAGAGAGCAAAGGTGGTTTGTCTGAAACGATGACCACTTTCTACTACAATAATCAGAATCAGAATGAGAATCAAGCTCAAGCTTCCATGTCTGCAACTGCACTATTGCAGAAAGCAGCTCAAATGGGCTCAACCAGAAGCAACAACAACAACAGCAGCAGCTCGGCTTTGTTCGGAACCGGGTTTGGGCTCGTGACCTCACAATCTCTCTCAAGTGTTCCCGATTTCAATTCATTTAGCCAGAGCAGGCATGACCCAGATGAGAACTTAAGTGAATTGATGAATTCGATGCCCGGTTCGACCCCGGGGACTGGTAATGGGGATGCGTTGTTCTTGTTAGGTGAGCATCATGTTATGAACTCATCAAGCTCAGTAATGGGTAGCACAGGAAATTTGGATTTGGACCATTTAATGCCAAACAATGGGAAGCAAAGCAAAAGCAAACCCAGTTGTAATGAAGTTGATAGAAGCATGACTAGAGATTTTCTTGGTGTAGGAGGTGGTGGTGGTGTTCATGGAGGCCTAGGAAGGCCATTATTGCAACAAGAGCTAGCCAAGTTTGGACCAATGAGTTCAGCCATGGACTTGACCCACCACCAGTATAGTGGAAGTCACTGAGATTCAAATATGGTAAGTCCTCCCTTTTATTGTAACATAGATTTCAAGATTAATAAAACTGTGATATCATACACTCAATGTGTAATTTATGAAGTTGCTTATAGTTATCTTTTTATTTTTTTAAATTTGTGTTAGAGTATTTGATATTGTTTTTTTATTATAGTTTATAAAATAGAATAATTTTAATAAGCTGAAATGGCTAATCATTGAAAAGATGATGAGAGAAACTTTCAGCTTTCATTTTATAATTATCGACTTCCAATTTGTAAAAATTGCGTAAAAAACATGCTCCGTGGGTGTAAATATGAAAAAATTTGCTTATTGAGAAAAAGGAAAGAGATGCTTTCAATTTTATTTTTTTTGGATTATTAATTTTTAATTTCAAAAAAATACATCAAGGTGACTCAAAGTGTATAACAGAATGCAACTTTGAGGAGCAAGTTAGAGATTAGTATTTGAATAATATTAGAAATTATGAAAAAATTATTATGATATGTTTGATGAAAAAAATTTTTCATTTTATTAATGTGTAGTGTTTTATTATATTTGTAATCAAATGATAGAAAATTTTTAATGATTATCTTTAAAATATTTTTTTCATGATCTCTAATATTACTTTAATATTTTTGAAGCATTTACATATTGTGCTTTAAATAAGTATTATAAGATGAATGGTGTAGAGTATTATTTTAAAATTGTCAAATAATTCCGATTTTTCTCTTTACACAAATCAAATAATTCTCTTATATGGATGATATTCAAATGAGTGAATTATATTCGATTTTATAATATTTCTAATACAATAACCTCACGGGGGGAAGGAGAGAGAAAGAGAGATCTTGTGACTTGTCAGAGAAGGGGGCCATAGCATGTTGGAAGAGAGAAAAAAAACAAAAAAACGAATTTGGCAATCACAAGGCGGGCGTTCTTGTACTCACTCTCTGCATGTGGAAAATTTAACCTTTAAAGGATTTGATTTAAAAGAACTCAGTGTTGTCTTTTCCCACTGCAAAAGCTTTTATCAAAGAATTAGGATCCTCTTCTTTATTTGCTGTGTTATTGGACTTATTTTTAGGTCTAATTTTAATAATTTAAGTTGTTTATATTTTAAAATTTGTTGAATATATTATATCTATAAAAAAATTAAATTGATCGGATATTAGAAAGTATGTGTTCGGAAAAACAAAAAAACGAATTTGGCAATCACAAGGCGGGCGTTCTTGTACTCACTCTCTGCATGTGGAAAATTTAACCTTTAAAGGATTTGATTTAAAAGAACTCAGTGTTGTCTTTTCCCACTGCAAAAGCTTTTATCAAAGAATTAGGATCCTCTTCTTTATTTGCTGTGTTATTGGACTTATTTTTAGGTCTAATTTTAATAATTTAAATTGTTTATATTTTAAAATTTGTTGAATATATTATATCTATAAAAAATTAAATTGATCGGATATTAGAAAGTATGTGTTCGGAAAACTATTTATTAAATTTAAAAAAAAAAATAGTTTTTAGTTAGGTTTCCGAACACATACTTTTTGATATCTGATCAACTTGATTTTTTACAGGTATAATATACTCAACAAATCTTAAAATGTAAACGGTTTAGATTATCAAAATTAAGTCTAAAAGTAGGCTCAATAACCCACAAATAAGAAGTCAAGCAGGAACCTCAAGGAGAAAATCCTGATTCTTTATCAAAAAGGACTTTCATAGTCACTCACATGTTATGAATAGTTTCCCCTACAATAATTAATTTTGTTATAAATTTTATACAAGAAGATCTAATTTAATGATTTATGTTTTAAATTAAATTAAATATTTTTTTTATTTTTTTGTACTTTTTTCGTAAATAATTAAAAAATATTTTTAAATATTTTAATTTTTTTTTACCTAAAGTCATTTCCCTTTACAATATTTATAGTGAATCAAACAAAGTATAAGAGCCAATTATAACTTTGAGAATTGTCACAAGTCATAAAAAAGTAATTCCGTTGTGAATTCTCTTATCCTGAAATAAGTGGTTTGCTTTTCACCAAACTGAGAAGGAGATTGGTCAAGCTATCCGTAATGTGTTCCAGACATTTTTGTTAAAATATTGCAAGAAAAAAAAAATGCCATTATTGGGAGGTCGAACTCAATGACTTTAATTGCTTGCGCAGTTGTGCATACTTTTCAGGAGGGGTTTGTTTGGGATACAAGGGGTCATGTGATGGACTCATATTTAGCTTTCAGTTCGAATTGACTGACTCCGCAGTGAAAGCTACCAATCCTTGATTTTCTTATTCCAAATTCTACAATATCTATCATGTCTATTATTGGTCATCAAACATGGCATTAGAGAGATTAGGTCCAAGTTGTTTTCCACCTTATTTTCCTTCTTCAAACTTAAGCTTTTTTCTTTTCTATATTTTTTATTATTAAATTCAGCAGTCAGAAGATTTTAGAAGTTGTCCATTTTTTCAAAATTCTCTTAACTATTAGGAAATATTATTTTTATTTTTAATTATAAAAAACGTATCACTTTCACCTTTTTCAAATTATCTCAAAAAAACGTATTTGTACGATTTCTGAATTTATAAATGAGAGAAATAAAGTAATATTTGCTAACAGTTAAGGGATATTGGTCTAATTAACTATTTATTTTATTATTTGTTATTATGAAAGTATTTGGTGAGAATGGGTAGAAAAACTTTTCTTTTTTTTTTTTTACATGTTGGGCCTTTTTTTTTAAACATTAATATTTAATTTTTTATATATTTTTTGTTAAGTAAAAATTATTGTTTTATTTGTTTTATTTTTTTTTTTGAAATTTTTTAAATTTTTTTTAAACCCCCCCCCCCCCCCCCCCCAAAAAAAAAAAAAAAAAAAAAAACTAAAGACAAATTTGAAAAATAAAAATTGTGACATTTTAAACTAGGCCTTGGTGCACTCAAAAGGCAGTGTGGATGTCGACCACATAACCAAACAGGAAACTTAGTTAGAGAGCACGCAGGGGCACTCTGACGATCAAGCCAGTCAAATAATCTCTCAAAAATACCAAATAAGTAATAAACTCACAGAATAAAGCGTCTTAAATAAAAGCATACCTTAAACACACGGGAGTGCCTCAATTTTATAATGGTTAGTGTCCAACTTCCCCTAGAAGTTTCACTTCATGGACTCTATCATTTACAAGGATAACATCTATTACAACTCATACTATTCAAATTAGATGAACTTCCTCAAGAGTCCCATCTCTATCCAAATAAGTAGCTTAATGTCATCTAGGACTCTTGTTCTCTATCCGAATATCACAGATTTAGATATAATCACATCATATCTTGACGACTTGGTCCATACACGTGGCACCTCGGCTAACAACTTCTGCCACATGGACAACCCAAAAAATGTCCCCATAACTACCTCGTAAGTTCTATTACCTCGGCAACCTGAGGTGACAGAACTTATATCTTCTGATTTTCTAACATGTCAGCTAAACAATATGTTAGAGATACTCATCCGACTGAGATCATGACTCATCGGTTTCATGAAACAAGGAATCAAATGTCCACTCATCAAAAATCAAGAATTCATCCAAAATCAACATCTCAACCGAGATTGCATTACTAGCTGAGATCATGACGTGCTAGTTCAAGAACATCAAGATTTGAAAAATGCCGTCTCAAAACAAACTCAACCGTCATACCAACATCATGACGTGGCACCTCTTTATTGGTTTTCAATACGTCTCGTAATTGACACACGCTTCCCCATCAGCCATCACCTAACATCAACCATCACACGTCTCTCAAGAAACTTGAATCATTTCAATTTGTCACATCTTTCCATTCCAACAAAACCTTTTCATTTTTCCATTTTGTCTTTCTCTGTGTCCCCAGACTCTCTTTCTCTTGGCCTGTACAAATCATCATCGTTGTTCTTGAAACACTAATTGTTATAAATAGTCCATGTGTGCCCAAGGTTCAAACTCTACCACCTGAACCAGACTAGTAGCCAAGCACTTCATTAGTTGCTCCACGCATCAACCCATCATCTCAATGGTAGTGTAAACACTGACATAGTGACAATCTTGCAACTAGAACCAGGAACAAGAAACACCGAGGTCCTAAGCTCCCAGCCTTAGATCTTGATAATCCTCCAATCGCCTTATCTGCAAGTAACCATCACCGTAACCAATGACAACATGTTTCACCGAACTCTTGTCATGGTCTTGCTGACATTCCTGATGTCATAACTGTGCGATCCACTCCATCTCCTTATAGTCAATCCAACATGCTCATGCCTTCAATAACTCAACATCTTAGAAGAGAAGCACATGAAGCAAAATGACCAAATTACTACTACCAAAGCCGAGGCATGGAAAACCAAGGCCATTGCTAAAGCCATTGAAAAGAAAGTTGTCGAAGTTAAGAAGAAACTAGTAAAGGCACTAACCAGCAAGGCACTAACTAGCCAAGAGTAATCGCCAAGACCTATCAAGAAGGCCAAGCTTCTATCCGAGATCAATGTACGAAGCAAGTCAACATCTCGGATAAAACCATCATCTCGGATCATGTCATCTCAGGTATAGGTGTTATCGGATACCTTCATTGTAACACTCGCCTTTGTAATTAATTGTTACTTTTGTGGCTTACCTTAATTATGTGTTTCCATGTGATTTATCTGTCTTATATGTTTCCATGTATGGGTTAATTGTGACTCACGTGCTCTCTGTTGACAGATATGTTAGAATGTGAAAAGACCTGTCTGAATCGTTAAACCATAAGCTTAATTCACCTTTATGTGCTTATATTGGGCTGAGCTAGAGTAGGCTATAATGAGGATTAATCTCATTTAAGTAAAATGGTTTACATTAATTAAAAATGGTTAAGCCAAATTAAACTAGATATTTTATATAGGTTTGAACTCAAGTAAGAAAAGAGAGATATAACCTGAGAGAGAGAGAGAGAGAGAGAGAAAGAGAGAGAGAGAGAGAATTCTAGAGCTTAGAGAACAAGGAGGGAAGGAGGGGATTAGAATCAATCTACCATAATTCCATAATCAAATGTAAGAATTCTTGTCCCAACCCTTGAGATTAATCTATCTTACACAAGAGGTTATAGAATTTGAGGTGAAATGGGAATTGGGTAATGTAGTTTGTGTCAAGAACCCTAAATAAAGGTGTTCATGTTCATACATAGCATACATAGCATCATTCATGTTCCACTGGTAGATGATGGAAGAAATTCATGGATTTGAGTTGGAAAAGTTACAATTCTATGGTTCTTGATTTTAGCTTTACACTCAAAGTCTTGATCTTTTCTTTTTCATTGCCAATAGGTTTGTTTTGAAGTTATGCTTTTGGTTTGAACTTAGAAGTTGCTCATTCCTCATAGTTTAGTAGGTTTCAGGCCTTGATTTGTACAAATTTGAGTTTGGTTTTTTGAAAGGTTGAAGTTCAAAGATAGAGCAGCTTTTCGGTTCTGCAACACCTAGAACTGCAGGTGCGAAAAACAGGGGAGAGGAGCTGCTCATTCTGCATAAATTGCACGTTTCGGTGCATGTGCGGTGGGGAGTGCCGCACGTGCGGCCAAGGCACCCCACACCTGTGGCTGTCTGGCAGGCCCAATCTCATTTTTATGCTTCATTTTCCCCTTGTTTGGGCCTCCTTTAGCATGGTTTTTACATGTATTTGACATTCATATGCATTGCATGGGTATCACAAGCATTAAAAGAGAATAAGGAACAATTAGGCCAACTAATCAATAAGTAATGATAACAACTAGTGGGTTGCACGGTGAATTAAACGTGTTATGTTTATATGTCTGTGTAGGTCAAGCGCCACGTCCCAGTCATGTGTTTCGCGAAGCCAACTGTGAGTAACACTGTTGTAAAGATATGTTTAACTAAAAGTATTTCTTTTATGCCTTATATTATCCTCTGTTCTAAAATGATTCTTCTGCTTAATGAATGATGATCCTATTTTTTTACACTATATTTGTGGCATCCTTAGCACCTGTTTACTATTACTATTACAAGGATCTTTGTTAGTTCCAATTCTTGGAACTCCTATTTACTATATTGATGGCCATGATAACTAATTGCCGGTCTTCATGACCATCCGTTCGGTCTTCAAGACCGCATGTACTAGTTTGCTATTGGATGTACCACGTATAATATTTATGCCATTTGTATGAGATATGGATCTGTTAAGTATATGATTTTGATTTTCTAAGTGATACTAAAACAGATCAATTTGCACGATAGCAAGGACACCATTCATGACCTTTTTACACTGTTGTTATTCACTAGGCTCTAGCTCATGAGTTTATATTATATGTATATGTAGGTGATCCAGTGCGAGAGGGGACTTAGTGGTATCGACCTTGCCCCACTTTTGTCAAGCTACCTTTTGTGTCTCACTGTGAGGTTCTCATCTGTTCGAGGCTTTGGATGGCTGGTGATCACCCTTTTGACAGTCACTCACATGTTATGAATAGTTTCATTTTACTTACACATATGTTGATGATGGGAATGTACTCCCTTTCTTGGTTGTATTTTGGCAAACTTGTTGTATCTTGATGTATTGATATGTATGTGTATATATATAACAATGCATTTTGTCTCATGTATGTTTTCACAGCTCGTTGGATGTTTTATTTTCTGATATATTAGCTTATGCTAGCCTCGATCATTTGATTGGTACATGAAGGACTTTGGTAATCACGGATTACTGGCCAGTTACGACATTAAACCTATAGGGACGGGTTTGGGTTGTGACATTCCTCTCATCAATTTTTTTTTGAAAATTTTACTGAGTATCACTTTCAAATCACTGACTTATTCTTCATTAACTTATCTTTTCTCTCTGCCCCCTAATATGAATGTAAATACAACTTAGGTTCATATTAGGAATACATCATTTGAATCTTGTCTAAGTCTGACTTAGACATCCATGACCAGAGTTATCGTTTTAGCTCATCTAAATAGAACACTTAAGGCTTAACCTTAGTGCGCCAAGAGTACTACCTACCTCGGCTTTTCGTACAAACTAGCTAGATTACGGCGGTTTTGTCTTGTTTTTCATTGAAACATCACTTTAACTTAGCTCAGCTCTGCCTTCCCGACAAGCCTAAATTAAACGCATAGTTCCTCATTGGAACATCCCTTAATTTCAGCTTTACCTTCTTGGCAAGCCTAAGTTAACTGGCTCAGGAGTCATTTCCCACTCAAGGGTCATTCCTTCGATTTCATTTCAATGGTCATTTTCTTCGATTTATTCTTAACTTCGGTTGAAGTTATTGACATCATTAGAGCCGAGATCCAAATTTCATCAAGCCACATTCCAAGGCCTCGACAATCTCTTACCATCAAGATCTTCTAATCTTGAGTTAGCTTTGTTTTATCTCAACTCTGTTCGCCTCTGATAAGTTCTGATCTTTTCAAAATTGTTCACCTAGGTCAAACTCCTTTCATATTGGATTTGCCAACCCAAGCTGAGGCCTTCTTCTCTTGAATCTGTACACTTATGTTAAGCTCTTGTCTTCTCGGACTTACTTATGTAGGCTGAGATCCTGTCTTCTGAGATCTAGGAACTGCTCACCTAGGTGGAGCTCTTGTCTTCTCAGAACTACTCATCTGGGCTGAGATCTTGTCTTCTTGGATCTGGGATCAACTCAGATAGGTTAAGCTCTTGTCTTCTCACATCTGGAAATGGGGTAGTTCCTCCGCCATACTTGATTTCATTTATGAAAGTCGGAAAATTGTTAAGGACATGATGTTGGGGCTACTTGTGTTATGTGTTGACTGTGTCTTCGAATAGTGCTAATGTGGAAACGATTCCTGTGGTCTGTGAATTTCCTGATGTATTTTCTAATGACCTACCTGGGGAGTTAATCGATAGGGAAATTGAGTTCACCATTGATATAGTTGCTAGGACACAACCAATTTTCTAAGACCCCTTATAGAATGTCAACTTTTGAATTGAAAGAGTTAAAAGTCCAACTTCAAGAGTTGTTAGACAAAAAGTTCATCCAACTGAGCACTTCACCTTGGGGTGCTCCAGTTTTGTTTGTAAAAAAGAAAGACGGGTCTTTGAGACCGTGCATAAATTACAGAGAACTAAACAAAGTAACTTTTAAGAACAAATATCCTCTACCCCAGATAGACGATTTATTTGACCAATTTCAGGTAGCCCAAGTCTTTTCCTAAATTGACCTTAGATCTGGGCATCACCAATTAAAGGTCAAAGCAGAGAATGTAGAGAAAACAACATTCAGAACTAGATACGGACACTATGGGTTTTGGGTAATGCCCTCCGGAGTAACTAATGCACCTGTAACATTTATGGACCTAATAAATAGGGTGTTTAAACAATTTCTTGATGAATTTATTGTTGTGTTTATTGATGATATTTTTATTTACCTCAAAAGCAAGGAAGAGCATGAACAACACCTGAGAACTGCCTTATAGAATTTGAGAGAAAAGAAATTGTATGCAAAATTGTCCAAATGTGAATTATGGCTCGACAACGTAACATTTTTGGGACATGTGATTGACAAGGATGGTATATCAATGGATCCACAGAAAATTGAAGCCATTGTAAACTGGCCAAGGCCAACCAATGTGTCTGACGTTAGAAGTTTTCTGGGACTTGCAAGCTATTATCGCAGATTTATGAAAGATTTCTCTAAGGTTGCCCTGCCACTCACCCAACTGACCCAAAAAAATGTACCATTTGATTGGAATGATCAACGGGAATCGGCCATTCAAGACCTGAAAACTAGACTGGTGACTGCACCAATTCTGACCTTGCCTATCGAAACCGATGGGTTTCAGATTTACAGTGATGCCTCCTACAAAGGTTTAGGATGTGTACTGATGCAAAATGGTAAAGTGATTACTTATGCCTCTCGTCAACTTCGACCACATGAAAAGAACTATCCGACACATGACCTTGAATCAGCAGCCGTGGTGTTTGCCTTGAAAATTTGGTGACACTATTTGTGTGGTGTGACTTGCACGGTGTATACCAACCATAAAAGCTTGAAATACTTTTTCACCTAAAAAAAACTGAACATGAGATAAAGACGATGGCTTGAATTGATCATGGATTATGACTTGCAGATTTTGTACTATCCAGGAAAAGCTAATACAGTGGTGGATGCCTTGAGCCAAAAATCTATTGGAAATTTGTCATGTTTGCTTACAGGCCAGAGAGAATTGTTATGTGACCTAGAGAAAAATGAGATTGAAATTGTGTTGCGTGAATAAGGTGGAATCCTAGCTGCCATTTCCGCTCAACCTGCCATCATTGAAGAAATTAGAAAGAAGTAACTTGAAGATGAGTCTCTGAAGAAAATTACCAGCGAGATTGACTCAAAGCCAAGGCCGGGATTTGTGTTGGAGAACAATGTATTGAAAATTCACGGTAGACTTTGTGTACCAGACTATTCTGAATTGAGAAAACGTGTTATGACTGAAGCCCATAACTCTAAATTTGCTATGCATCCGGGGAATACAAAGATGTATCAAGACTTGAAACAGAATTTCTGATGGCCTAGAATGAAGAAAAGTATCGCTGACTATGTGGCAAGATGTTTGCATTGCCAACAAGTTAAAGCTGAACATCAATGACCTGCTGGATTGCTTTAGCCGCTTCCAATACCAAAATAGAAATTGGAGCACATTACGATGGATTTCATTGTTAGATTGCCTCACTCTACTCGAGGTATGGGTTCTAGCTGGATAATCGTTGATCGTTTGACTAAATCTATACATTTCTTACCTGTTAAAACTATTTATAACGTGAACAAGTTGGCTAATATTTATATGAATGAGATTGTGAGGTTGCATGGGGTGCTAGTATCCATTGTATCTAATAGGGATTCGAAGTTCATGTCAAGGTTTTGGCGAAGTTTACAACAGGCTTTGCAGACTGAACTGAAGCTAAGCAGTGCTTATCACCCATAGACAGACGACCCAACTGAATGAACCAATCAAACCATGGAAGATATGTTGCGGATGTGTGTGTTGGATTTCTAAGAGAATTGGGAGACTTATCTTCCGTTGGCCGAATTTGTTTACAACAACAGTTATCACTCAAGCGTTGAAATGGTTTCTTATGAAGCTTTGTACAGAAGGAAATGCCGTTCTCCAGTTTGTTGGGCCGAAGTGGGTGATAGACTATTATTGGGACCAAAACTTGTGCAAGAAATGACAGAGAAAGTGAAACTGATTCAACAGATATTGAAAACTACACAAAGTTGCCAAAAGAGTTATGCGGATGTCTGAAGAAGAGATAGAGAACATAATGTCGGGGATCACGTGTTTATCAAAGTAACTCCGATGAAAGCCCAAACGCAGTTTGGAGTGAAAGGCAAATTGGTACCGAGATATGTTGGCCCATATGAAATCCTTGAGAAAATCAACCCGGTGACGTATCGGGTAGCCTTACCACCAGTGATGGAATATATGCATAATGTTTTTCATGTCTTAATGTTTCGGGACTATCTACAAGATCCATTACATGTTATTGAACCAATACATGTGCTTTTGAAGGATGACTACACCTACGAGAAGAAGCCAATTCAGATTGTGAACCGCCATATCAAAAGATTGAGGAACAAAGAAATCCCCTTAGTGAAAATAGATTGGCAAAACCACGAAGAGACATATGTAACATGGGAGACGGAAGAGGACATGATAAAGTGATACCCTGATTTGTTTCCTTTGGACCCGATATTCTTTCGAAATGAAGGTAATTCGAGTTTGGAGGACCAAACTCTTTAAGAGGAGAAGACTGTAACAACCTGACCTGTGATTAACTGTTAAACCATGATTAAAAATGCTTAATAAGTAATTAAGATGAAATCTTGAGTTACTTCCATGTGCATTGCATTATTTGTGTTTATATCTGCCTACTGTAGGAATATCTATTTGTGTTTATGTTTTGTTCTGCGAATTGAAGGCCTTATCGACATCCGAGCAAGAAATTGACTTGATTTATGTGTTATTTGGGATTTTTAAAATTTTATGATAGGTTTAATTGAACTTCGATTTGGAATGAAATAATTAGAATAAATTAATGATACTTAACCATTCTTAAACCAATTTTGATTAAGCCTTCTTAATTGAGCCTATATAAGGCTATTTTGACTCCATTAATTCCTTTCACACCCTCACTTCATACTCTTCAAGCACAAAATGTGAGAGAAAGAAAGAGAAGGAAAGAAATTGAGATCAAAGTTAGAAAATAGGAGAATTGTTAGGAATTGTTGAAGAATTGAAGAGAATTTGGGAGGTGAAGCTTTTACACTTGTGAATCTAAGACTCTAGGTAAGAATTTTGTCCTTAAGCTTTGTAATCAAGACTTTAGTGCAAGAATTCTAGTGGATGAAGTGTTAAGCATGGAAATTAAGCTAGGAATCAAGGAATGTAACTCATACCACACATGCATGCATAATTCATGAATTTCAAGTGTTGATTTCAACTAATCCTCACATACAAGGGCCTATTCTTGTTCAATTATGGGAGCTCATGGTGAATTTACACTTTAACACTTCATTTGTGCATGGTTTAGAGGTTTTGAATTCATATCATTACAAGCATGTGTAGAGACATGAAGTTTCACTTTGATTTTGGAGAATTGATTTGTGTTTGGGCCTTAGTTTTTCGAATTAACCATCATTTCAAGTTTTCCTATAAGTTTCCAAATGTTTTCTAAAGTTCTTGGACAAAATGAACAAGATTGAAGCTTTGAAATCGAGTTTTGAGTCGTGAAAAGCAATCTGGAAATTCCAGATTCTGCATCTCCGCTCAAGCGACAAATCCTGCGCTCGAGCGACCACTCTGTGTTTTGTACCTCCGCTTAAGCGACCAAAAGTTGGCTCGAGCATAAATTGCATGCTTCCAGAATTTTAACATTTTTGTAGACCGCTCGAGCGACGAGAGTTGCGCTCGAGCGAAAACCTTAGTCTCACGCTAAAGCGACCATCTAGCGACCGTTGAGTAAAAAATTTAAGCAACCAGTGCTTTTGCAGAAGTTTGCAAACAGCTCAAGCAACCACTCTGGAACCTCTGCTCGAGCGAAAGAAGTTGCGCTAGAGCAAGGCCCCTGTTTTCAGCATATTTGCCTAAGTGTTTTCAAGTGCATTTCAGCATCCTCGTTGCATCCTAGGCATTCCTAAGTCCTAGTTAAGACATAATAATGAGGATAAGAAATAGAAACACACCGAAAGAAGAAAGAACTAAGTTAATAATTCTGGGTGTGTAATTCAGTACGTATTCGTTCTGTATCTGTGTAGGTCATGCGCCGCAAGTTAACTGATTTGTCTGCTCTGTTGTTTTGTTTAGAGCCATCTATGAGTAATAACTTAGTAAAACTATGTTATTTATTTTCTGTATGATGCAATAAGATCTGTTTTATGGACCAATTATGTTTTGTACAATGAATGATAGTCCATATATTGAAAACTATTCATGGCAACAATTCCATAGCATCAAGTATGTTATCTGTACTCGGTACTGGAGGTTCCTTTATGGAACTGACAAGTATGTTATCTGTTCCTAGTACCGGAGGTTTCTTTATGGAACTGACAAGTATGACCCTTAATACTCTGTATTTGATTTGTTAGTGCTAATGGATGTACCCCATATGAACAAGTATGAATTTTGATTTCCGTATACGATTCAAGCAAGATTATGAAAACGAATTTGTTTTTATTTTCTAAATCTGTTAGGACATCATTCATTTAACCCTTTACTCTGTTATTATTCACTGGGCTTCTGCTCACTGTTATATTATGTATGTAGGTGAGTCGGCGCGTGACAAGGCCTAAGCTGCTGCCTGGTGAGTTTTGGGTCGACCAGCTACCAAGCCTCCCAAGGAGGTTCCCGTTTAAGAAGTCAAGTTTTGTGAACCATGCTTAGAGTTGTCTTGTGTAGAATGTTTTGTTTTGTTTTTGTTCATCCACACACCTTATACGGCGCTGCAAGACTTATGTGGATTTGACGTCATATATGTATATATTTCATCAAAGTTTTAAATTTTTATCCCATGTATGTCAGCACAGCTCAATGGACTGCATATGTTTTTGCTTCCGCAGCCCCTAATTATATGTTAATCTAGTCAGAGGCCTTTGGTAATCCAAGGGTTACTGGTCAGTTACGACCCTAAACTTATAGGGGCGGGTTTGGGTTACGACAGAGCGGTATCAGAGCACATGTTTTACCGCACACACGGGTCCATATGAGCTTAGGATGTCCTAGTAAGAAGTAGAGGCGTTTAATCTGCATGTGTGAGTGTGTGTGTTCTTTAAATGTGAAAATTGAACCTGACCATGAACAAATGAAATTGAAATAAATGATCTGAATATTGTGAAAATGATTATTTGCCTATGTTTATAGTGCTCTGTTTACCTATAGCAATGGAAAATACAAGAAGTAATGATGCCACCGAATCCTTTGAGGCTCGCATGAGTCATATGGAATATATGCTTGCAGCTCTGACTGAAGCACTGATACAACAATAGAGGCAATAACCTTTGCCCCCTCTGCCTCCACTAGCACAACATGAGCCAGATACCAATGATATAATCAACCTGACTCAGAAGTTTATGAAGATGAAACCGTCAACTTTCTTGGGTGGCATTGAACCCTTAAAGGTAGAAACCTGATTGCTCGAAATGGAGAAACTATTTGAAGTGTTTCCTTACTCCGAAACACAAAAAAAAATTTTGGCCACCTACACGTTAAAAGATGAAGCTCGGAGATGGTGGTTACTAATCTGAACTAATAATGGGAACATGACGTGGACTTAGTTTAATGAGATTTTGTACAACAAGTATTTTAACCAATGCTTCATAGATCGAAAAGTGTCAGAATTTCATGAAATTATGCAAGGCAGAATATTCGTAGTGGAGCATGAAGCTAAATTCACTAAATTGGCTCGATTTGCTCCACACATGGTGGATACTAATTACAAGAATGCACGAAAAAGCATTGATGGCAGAGGCCATTTTGGCAGCAAAGAAACAAGCTCCAACTCCGACAACTGAATGGAAGGGTAAACGATCCAGATTTGATTTCAAGAAGGGCCGGTCATTTTCAAAATGACAAAATACGGGATCCTCCAGCAGCTTTAGCCATAGTAGTGGCTGTATTCCAAACTGCCCCAATTGCGGAAGGAAGCATACAGGTACGTGTCACCGTGCCTCAGGTGCGTGTTTTCGGTGTGGAAAGAATGGCCACATGATTAGAGATTTTCCGCTGAGATTTGACAATGCTAACCATCCTGGAGCAAGTTCAGCCGGATCTGCTCCTGTAACGAGGACCAATGCAAGAACTAATACTAGGGGCAATACCAGGAATGAAACACTAAGGCAAGGGAGAGTGTTTGCATTAGTGCCTAAAGATGTACAAAACACCGAATCTGTGGTGTCAGGTATAATTTCCATCTATGCTCAAAATGCGTATGTCTTGATAGATTCTGGTTCTACACACTCTTTTGTGTCGCATGCTATTTCACGAAAATTGACTCGACCATTAGAACCTATGAATTATTTACTATCTGTGACTACTCCTTCTAGAGGTCCTATGGTATGTACTTATGTTTACCCGACATGTGATATTGTAATTGGACATGTGACATTGTATGTGGATTTGTTACCATTGAGTATTGATCATTTTGACTGCATACTTGGTACGGATTGGTTAACGAAATACTATTCCACCATTGATTGCGTGAGTAAATCTGTCGTGTTTAGACCACCTGGTATGCCTGAGTCTGCATGAGAAAAGTTCATCCGACCGAGCACTTCACCTTGGGGTGCTCCAGTTTTGTTTGTCAAAAAGAAAGACAGGTCTTTGAGACTGTACATAAATTACAGAGAGCTAAATAAAGTAACTTTTAAAAACAAATATCCTCTACCCCGGATAGACAATTTATTTGACCAACTTCAGGGAGCCCAAGTCTTTTCCAAAATTGACCTTAGATTCAGGTATCACCAATTAAAGGTCAAAGTAGAAGATGTAAAGAAAACAACATTCAGAACTAGATACAGATACTATGAGTTTTTGGTAATGCCCTTCGGAGTAACTAATGCACCTGCAACGTTTATGGATCTAATGAACAGGGTGTTTAAACAATTTCTTGATGAATTTATCATTGTGTTCATTGATGATATCTTGATGAATTTATCGTTGTGTTTATAGATGATATTTTAATTTACTCCAAAAGCAGGGAAGAACATGAACAGCACTTGAAAACTGCTTTACAGATTTTGAGAGAAAAGAAGTTGTATACAAAATTGTCCAAATGTGAATTCTGGCTCAACAACATAGCATTTTTGGGACATGTGTTGACAAGGATGGTATATCAATGGATCCATAGAAAATTGAAGCCATTGTAGACTGGCCAAGGCTAACTAATTTGTCTGAAGTTAGAAGTTTTCTGGGACTTGCAGGCTATTATCGTAGATTTGTGAAAGATTTCTTTAAGCTTGCCTTGCCACTCACCCAACTGACCTAGAAAAATGTACCATTTGATTGGAATGATCTACGGGAATCGGCCATTCAAGACTTGAAAACTAGACTAGTGACTGCATCAATTCTTACCTTGCCTAACGGAACCGATGGGTTTCAAATTTATAGTGATGCCTCCTACAAAGGTTTAGGATGCGAGTGATTGCTTATACCTCTCGTCAACTTCGACC